AAGAAGCGGTTCCGTTCGCTTTCAGAATTGCCTATTGTTCTGCACATATCATACATCCTTCAAGACTATACCTCACCTTATGAAAAGTTTTTTAAAAGACATCCTGACTAATTTTATTTCCTTTTTTTTGTGGAGAATAACTTTGTTGCATTTCTTTTTCCAATAGTTGATTTTTTTCTATTCAACATAATAATTTGAGTTTTGATAGAATTGATTTTAGTCTAATGTTCATCAAAAACTCAAACATTTTATTTTGAATGACTTTTTTGTTTTCCATTGTTCTGTCGATAGCAACATATGTTTCTTTGTTCCTTATTCAATCAAATTGATGGCAATACTACAAAAATTTTGGTGAATGATGATCACTGAGATGCTATATTCATAGCAGCGAATATCAAGGAGAACCGATTTGACCATTTAGCTTTTCTGGAACTTAAGACCTAAGCAGATGGGACCAAAAAATAGCAAAATTTCCAATATTCTAGGCTCTGCTGGATAATTAAGTGCTGTGCATTCATCTAAACTTTATAAAATTATATCCATTTTTGGTTCTTTTGAAGATTTTCTGCTAAGGAGTTGCTGATTTGACCTTTCAAAGCAGGCAGCAGTCTCCAAATGCTCAGCTGCCGTACTTTGATGTTTGCGCATTTAACCCTTTTCTTTGCTATTTACTCTCAAGTTTTGTTCGGGGTGTCTGTATCCTAAGCGAATGTATATATAAATTTTGACAGCTTGAAGCCTAATTTTGACGAAAATGTTTTTTAACATAGTGTAACAATAAGACATTTCCAACTATACGCCTTGTTGAAAATCTGCAAAACTGTTTTCTAAAATCAAATGCTTCAAATTGGTTATAGAACTGAGGATTTCTCGTGGGTAGATTATATTTTATTTCTAATAATGATAAAGCATCCATGTATATTTGTTAACAGCATTATACACAAACAAAATGAGTTTTTTAATTTAGGAAACGAAAGAAGAGATTCTAACGATCACCTCACCATCGCATCAAGAAGATCAAAACGATTCGGGTATAGAGAATCGCACCACGGATTCGCATTCCCCATCCACATCGCTTGACTTTTCACCGAGGAGTACGTTAGCATACTTAGCTAGTTTTATCTTGGGATATTAATTGAGTCGTAACATAAATGTTTTAAGGTGACTCCAAACTTACCGCCGAATTGATCTCACCGAAAAGTGTGTCGCATACCTATCAGACTTCGGAGACGTCTTCAGCA